GTGGGCTGAGAGTGGTGGTGTTGGTGATGGTAGTGATGTTGGTGAGACTGATCCCTGGAAGAAACGAATTCGATTCAGCCTCGTCCTTTGTCTCTACGTCCATACCGTCGGAGTGGCCACGAACCCGCCGGTATATCCAAGCCCCATACCACCACCGTAGTTAAACATATTGTCCTCGTGCGCGTAGCTGATGGGCGGGGCTGCTGGCGATCCGAGCGGCGACGAATAGGCGCTACTCGGCCTGTAATCTATCGCGGACCTAGGAACCTCCAAGTACGGCGAACGAGCTTCCATGATCCCGGGAGCTTGCACGTGAAGAGGGGAAGGAGCAAAGGCCGGGCTCAGGCTCTGGCCATAGCCGTACTCCTGAATCTGCGTCTCGAGGTCGAGGTTGAGGGTGTCCAGGCCATATGGATCTTGCTTGATCTGCAGATCGTCCGTCTGCTGACGGGACCACTCCCGACGCGTCCGATACGACGAGGCCGTGTCCCGGGGGAAATCCATCAAGTACGCGGCGGTCTGCACAGCCTGTGCGTAGCCCTGGGTTGCTTGCAAGGTATTCACGTAGCGAATAATCTCTTCCAAGGGCAACAGAGCATTGTCCGCACAGAAGGCGGCGCCAATGTCGGGGAAAATCGGTTCGATCGCGACTGCAGCGGCGTAGAAGAACGAGAGCACAAGCAGAACGTTGATGTCCCCACTCCTAGCCGACAACAGAGAGATTGGCACCCAGAAAAGCCATTTTCTTAAAGCATAAAGCTGTTGGAACTGATCCTCTGGCGTCTGCGGCGGATTCGATATTCTCAAGCGCTCGATGTAACCCTTCAGCTGCTCCAACCACTTGCACTCCTGGTCGTAGTTCGCCAGGTAAGGCTGTAACCGCTGGATGTGGCTGTGAACCAACTGCAGAGTCGAGAGGTGATCGCGGCGGGCATCTGGTGCGACGAAGGAACCAGCCGAGTTCATGAATGATTGGGAAACGGTCGCTCCTTGTTCCGCGATGTAGTCTGCAAATGCGGACTCGTGTCTCCAGGGCTGCATAGCATTGACAATCTATGAGACCAGTGTTAGCGGACCAGATGCGCTCGGAATGAATCACACTGCGTTCGAGTCGCAGAACAGGAAGCCTTACCGTCTTGATGCCCGTCATGAGCGATGCCCATCCACGCCTGAAATAAACCGTCAGCACTAGAGCTTTTGCTGGGCCAGCCGTGCACGAGGGTGGGAAAGAAAACTCACCAATCCGTGGCCTGCCATGACAGGAGGAGCGAGGAAGCCAACACAGCATCTGAGTTGGCCCTGGAAAAGTTGCCAATGGCCTCGTGAAGGCCCTTGAGGGCAATGCCACCGTGGGCGATGGCCAGATTTCGCGTCTCGGTAGACTGGGAGATCCAAGCCAGGTGCGAGGCGGAGAAGGCCAAGATGGAGTGCATGACGAAAGGATAAGAGGAGGCGATGCTCAAAAACCTGGCAGACCGGTCAGCTAGTGCACTGGCGAATACGAGGACCCCTCCAAGCAGTGGAGGAGCGAGGCCCACTACTCACTTTGGCATGTTCTCGGCCCAGACAGTGAGCTTGGAGGTCCTGCCACGGAACATCTCGTTGGAGATGGATGACAGGTGGTGGATCAGACGGAGATCGGTCTTGGAGTAGCCGCGCCATTGCGGCTGCGGGTAGACGTTGAGCTCGGGGAAGGGGAATTCGCCGGTCGACTGCCAGATGTTGATTGTCGCCTCGATCTCAGGGGTCCACAGAAGGTTGGGCTGCTGGGGTCCCTTGGGGCTGTCTGGGGCGGCCGAGGCCGGGTTGTCGTTGTAGTCGCAACGGACCTGGTGCTTGGTGCAATTGCGGCTGGAGGAGCGTCAGCAGGAGTGCTCGCAGCACCGGGGCGGCGGGGAGGGGCGGGCATACCATTGCGGGTAGGTCTCGTCGCAGCGGATGTGACGCTTCTTGCACGTCTTGCAGCCTTTCCGCGACTTGGTGTGGCTGCGGCGCGAGGGTCCACCACCGGGGCCAGCCATTGCGATTCGAGCTTCGAGCGGACGGTCGAGGGGAGCGTGAGGGTTTTCCGGGCCTCGGGACAGCGGCACGAGGCGGGGTTGCGGGCCTTCAAATCCCCGCGCGGGTGCAGGCGGGCGTGAAGCTGGGCAGCGGCGACGCCGTGATGGTGCTGCTGCTGGTGCGCTGACCGCGGAGTCGAGGGCTTACTCAGGCGGGTTGCAGGACAGGTGAGCGAAGGTGAGGTGTAGCGACGGTGCGGTCTGCGAACGAGGTAAGGCTGATATGCACCGTTGGCGTGCTAACGAATGTGACGGCGGAAAGCCAAAGCGAGCGTCTGAGTTGGTTCCCTGCAGCGAGTCCGCTGGGCACAGCTGAGAACCAGGCTACTCTTATGGCTTGTGCGAGGTTCCGCTGGCGGCCCATGATGGCAGCTCAGTGATCAGACTGAGTGAGAGGTGCCGAGCGCAGGGACGGGCATGCATGTCCACAAATAGAACCGGCTACTGCTGAAATTGCCTAGTCAGCAAGTGCTCAAGCTCCCGTTAGTTAACCTTCTCCACGAGTTGCTGGCCAGGGAACGTGATCAGATGCGGTCGTGTCATGTATGATGGCATAGCCCCCCGCTGTAACACTTGGGTGTTAAGCTCACCACACGGATCCAGGCACACGGTCCGTTTCGGGCGGACGTCGAATGGCGAGCAGGGCGCCGGCCCAAACGGGCGAGCGCGGTGTTGGCCGCCGGCGCTTGGCTGCCCGCCGGCGCGCTGCCCTCGGCCCTCGATGCCCCCGGCGCTGGATGGCTTGCATGAAGCAGACCGCCACATTCGCCGGCGCCCGAGCGCTGCGGTGCTGAGCACGATCGGGAGCAGCGAATGAGACAGGCTGCGAGGGACTGCCGCAACCGGCAAGGCGGAGGATCGAGCGCAGCTGCCACAGGGTCCGCTGGAGGTCCGCTAGATCGCGTGCGGCAGCTGCAGCGCCGGCTATATTTAGGACAGCGATGCCCGCCGGCCGCGAGCTGAGAGCGCCTCCACGCGCCGCTGCTGCCTCTGCGGCGTGCGCCCTGCCCTCGCGGCGCTGCTGGATGAGCTGGCGCGCGACGGGCGGGCCTGCGCGCACCTGGCCGCACCTGGCCGCCCTCGCGCGCGCTGGGCGCACCCGATTCGTGCATATTGGCTGCTGGCCCCTGCGCGCGTACTGCAATAACTTTCACGTCGCGTCAGTAACAAAACGACCGCGCCCAGCGCCAGGCGGAGCGAAGGCAGATCGCCGGCCCCACCGCGCGCGATGCGAGAGTCCGGCGGTGGAGCGGCGGCAGCGGGCGGCGGCGTGAAACTGCCTGGGCGGCGCTGGGCGAAGCGAAGCGGCCGGGGGCGCGCTGATGATGAGTCGCCGGCACAGCAAGAGCCCCGAGTGCAGCGCGCTGCGACGCGGGCACAGAGGGAGCCCCGAGTGCAGGCCAGGCTGCTGGCCCTCGCGGCGCGCCTCGGCAGGCCGGTCGGCGTCCGTCCGTAAGGCTGAGATGACGCCTACCTATCCTAGGGGTGCCGAACAGCGGCGGGTCATCAGCGGCGAGCCCTGGAGCCCTGGAGCCCTGCTGCCCTGCTGCCGCCCTGCCGCCCGCCCCGGGGAGCGCAGCAGCGCAACGTCGTATCCCCCCTCCGAGCCCAGCAGGTAGTATTGACGGCGCGTGCATGCGCGCCCGCGGCGGCGACGGCCTTTAACAATCGATCGCCACGCGCAAGAATCTGATAACGCGCTAATAATAGCGTCCAGCCTGCCCTGCTGACCCGCCAAGCCCGCTGCAGCACGCCCCAATATCGCCAGGCCAAGGGGCTGCCCAGTGGCCGCACCCGTGACCGCACCGCGCCTGCTGCGCCGGGCGTCGGTTGAATCGTTGCGCCTGGGCGCCTTGGCGGTCGTTCGATGAAACCGCTGCAGACTCAGTCGCCCGCCCAGCAGCCATCTCCCCGAGTCATCCTCGAGCCGGCTGGCAGTCGTGTGCCAGTGTGCCAGTGTGCCTGTGCCAGCGTGCCAGTGTGCCAGTGTGCCGTTTGGCACGCCGCTGCAACGGCTGCGCATTATTTTTAGCGCCGCGCCGCGCAAATGATCTGGCCTGCATGGGCTTCCATTGCTTCCATGGGATTTTGGGCAAGCCACCTGCCCGGGCTCTGGGAACCGCCTGGGGTCGGGGGTAGACGGAATGCCCGGCCGCACCCTCATCAGAGCCTGCGCCTGCTAAGCGACCGGCCACCGCTGCTCGCATCCCGCGCGTGCGGGTATCAAATAGACCCGCCCTGCTGAGCGAGCATGCCACGGCACCTTGCCCACCACCACACCGGTCGCCCAGGGGCCAGAGACCCGAGTGCGCATTGAAGAGCCGTCAGCCGCAGCGTCGCTCAGCCCGGCTGCCCATGCTGCTGCTGCTGCTGGAGCAGGGCGGGCGCCGTCGGCCGGTGCTCCTAGTGGTCGAACCACCTCATATACACCGGAGTGGCCGGACGCCGTTCAGAGACCATGATGAAACCTCTCCAGCTTTTCTTGGAACGCCCAAACGTCCTGTTCGTCTTCGCGCCGGTCTGAACCAATCCCGCTAAGCGATGGCAGCCCGGAGAAGAACAGCTACCTACTGCTACCTATTTGGAAAAACGCCTCGCAATGTTCCGTGGCAAGGAAACGACTTCATGGCCCATGGAAACGCTACGCGCTACGTGTCTGCCAGCTCCTGCGTGCCGGCCTTCCGCCCACGCCCTGATGGAGTATACGCAAAAAAGTCGCTCAAACAACAATGTCTATATATATCATCATCGCCGTCCGCCGCCGACGAATCAATGTGCAACTACTCAAGCCGCATCTGCACTGCCCCATCCTCCCTGTACCCAGCGCTTCCAAGACCTTCCTATTCGTTATTCCATCCTTGCCCATTCCTTATTTCAGCTCTACAGTGCCGCCGCCTCCTTGCCCGGCGGGAGTGCAGGGGCGCGGGAGAATGTCTGTCTTCACAAGTGATACGTCTGCCGTAGCGCCTGCTCCTTGTCCGGAGGCAGGTGGTGTAGGAATGCGTCGAAGTCCGGGATCATGTTTTTGTATTGCATGAGGGCCTGGCCAAAGATTAGTGTGATTCCATGATAGATCTGACGTAGATTTACCCTCGAGAACGGTTCTGCCGGCCCGTCCGGGTTGGGCGTGCAGAGAAACTCGCTCGGCGCCGACGCCATCTCCGCGAAGAAGTCGAGCAAGCACTGCTCCATGGCCTGCGGGTTTTGCAGGACAATGTTGATGAATCCATTCAGTGCGTGGCCCTTTTCATCCGTCCAATCGACATGTTTTATGGCGTTGATGAAGTATGGCGCAAATGTTCCCAAATGCGGGGCAAGCGCCTGAGCGTTGCCAATGCCCAGCCTGCCGAGAGCTATAGCCGCATTCTCATTCAATGACATCGGGACCTTGCCGTTGAAGAGAATCGTGGCAAGCTTCTGAAGAAGTCGCTCAACGTAAGGCGCCATGCCTTCCCTCTGGCGCATCGCAATCTCACCAACAGACCAGCAAGCGTTGTTGACAACAGAGAAACCGTTGTCCTCCACGCTAGCCACGGTGTGGTCCAGGTCAAGCTGTGCCGTCAAAATCTCCAGGATTGATGGAAGGAAAGGCTGAAGTTGAGGAAAGACGTAGATTGCACAGTCGCCAAGCAGAGCGTAGGCAGACTGACGCACGTCATTATTTACGTCTTTCATGCAATAAGCCAATAGCTCAAACATGTTGGGCTGGGAAGTCGCCACCAGCTCTGAGCTCTTCGCCTCTTCAAGTGACTGGATGATTGCGCTCAAAAGATCCAGGCTTGTGACCAGAAAGTCCTTGTCTGGCTCATCAAGACCAGGGTTGGCAGTAGCCTGGAAGTACTCCTCCAGGTTCTGGTGTACGATGTTGATACACCTCGTGAAAATCGGTTTGGCGAAAGGGGCGAAGAGGTCGCCGAGGGCAGTGGCCACGTAAGATAGGCATTCCAGCAACGGGAACATCTCCCTCGAGTTGTCTGAAACCTTGTTCCAACGCTCGATGAGGGTGGGCATGAGGAGGTTGACGAGGTCAGGAGCCTTTAGTGCAGGGCCGACATGCTCTGCCAAAGTCTGAACGCAGTCGTACAAGATGAACATGTTGCGGTCCTTGTACCTTGCGAAGCATTCAACGAATTGCTGAACTATTACCGCGCAGTACGGAGTCAGTTGGGCATTGGCCTTTTCCTCCAGGTTGGCGAAAGCAGAAGCGGCAGCTTCTTGAACCCGCTTGTTGGAGTCCAGCATCCTCTTCAAGATTCCATCCATCATCGGCTCAAAGAATTGTCTCTGGCCGGCTGGTTCAAGGTGCGCCGCCCAGGAGGAATACCGACCTAACGACCAGCAGGTGATTTGGCGTACAACAGGCTCTTTGTCCTGAAGTAAAGTAATGAGGTATTGAGTGAGCTCCGGAAGATGACGCTGGACTACGTCCATGCAGCCATCGGCAATGGCCCCGAGTGCCAAGACTGCAGCTTCGCGGTTTGGCCACTCGGCGTGAACAAGGTTCTCCTTGAGGTAAGGGAGTGTGACCTCGAACACGGGTTGGTGGAAAACTGAAGCGAGGACGTCCAGGGCGGCAGCCGAGCACTTCCTCAAGTTCCATTGATCTTCCGGGTCCAATCCATCCTCGTCATCGTCATCATCGTCGAAGTCCTCGAGTTCGCCATCGCTCAAGTCATCTTCGCCAAAAGATTTTGGAACCACGCTCTTGTCAGGATCCGGTGTATCTCCGTTCGCCGTGGTGAACCGGTTGGCCTTGGAGCTGGCAAAAGTAGGTTTGATGTCCTGCTCGCGATCCTCCTGTTCAGCATCATCCCTCTCGCCTTCAAGTCGAAGAATGTCGTCTTCGCTATAGACCATGCTCTCCAGGAGAACAGGCACAATCTTGGGAAGATAAGGGCCAAGTGAGTTTCGCAGATTGTCATCTTCACCCACGCACAGCCAGAACTCAGCTGCGTCTAGTGCGAGCTCCGGGTCATCCACGGAGCGCTGCTGAGTGACCATGTAGTCCACCAGACCTTCCATGTGCGGGACGATCTTCTCCGGACTGATCTCGGCGATGTGAACGAAAGCTCGGCAGACATGCTTCCGGACCTCACCACTGTTGTCACTGGCGAGGCGGAAGAGCGCCAAGAGAAGAGCGTCGAGGCTGGAGACCACGGCGGTTTGCTTGTCGGGGACGAAGACGTTGATGGCTGCCAAAGCATTGGCACGAACCTTGGGGCGTTGACTGTTGGTGAAGTCCAGTAGCTTGGGGAAGATGAAATCCAGCGGGCGTTGGCCCTGGTATTCCCGATCCAGGGCGCGCCTGTTGTCCTCGCATATCTTGAGTAACGCGCCCATGGCACCCTCTTGAGTCTCCGGTGAAACAGAGCCGCTCTGGTTGGAAACCAATGAGATGAGCTCCGCAAGAATCTGGGGCCACCCAAGGATGCCGCCCTGTCGCACAACTTCGGTGATCACGTTCCCTGCATAGTTCCGCATCTGTTCACTGGGGTCTTGGAGCGCGTTCAGAATGGTCGACCGGATGAAAGCCTTGCTGTCATCGGGGATCGACTTGTAGTGTGTCTTGATATCGTTTTTCAACATGATTGCCGCGGCACTTCTCGCCAGGCTGTAGTATTCGGGAGTAAGGTCGATGCCAGCGGGGGGCTGGGAGTTGGTGAAGAGGCAGACGAGATAGTTCTCGATGTCGGGGGCGCGCTTTGCTTGCGCGAGCATCTAGGGCCGCGATGAAGGGTCAGCGGAGGACAATGCGACACGGGGTAGTAGCAGGGCAGACTCGGAAAGGAGTTGAGGCTACGTACAAGCTCCGCATTCTTTTGCGCATTTTGGTCATGGCCGCTGAGTGAGTCCTTGAGACACTGAGCGAGCTGCCGCAGCGGCTCCTGCTGGGGTTCCCAAGACATTGTTCAGGTGTGTCGTGTCCGCGATTCCGAATCTCGCACGGTTGCTGAACACCGGAGGGGTAGCGATGAATGATCCGCGGGGTAGGTCCGAGAGTCGAGATATAAAGGTTCACGCACCAGCGATAGCAGCTAAAAGGGCCAGCTTCGGCAGCACACGCACCTGTCAGCTCGCGGTCAAAAGTAGAAGAAAAAATCTAAAACGCGTCCGAAGATGCGGGCGGGAGCAGTGCGACGCAGAGGGAACCCACCTTCAGTGTCCTACTGTGCGACGACCATCTTTCCAGAAAACACAATTTAGACCTTGGCTTTTCAAATCGTTCTCGGCGTTCCGTTTGACCGGCCGTGAAGCTCACAGCTGGCCTGGGCGGGAGTGTGCAGAGCGGGCAAGCGTCGTTGAAGCACGAGCGGATGGCGCTGTGGCGGTTGTGTAACTGTGGGCGGGCGGGTGACGATGACAGAGGCGAGCGAAGAACGAGCCGTGGGGCCCGGCGGCGAAGTGGAGCAGCGTGTTTCTCAGGACGCGGTGTTGGCGGTGCGATGGTGCGGGCTCGACAAAGAGCGTCGTCCAGCCAAGGCGGGCAAAGCAAGGGCGAGGTGGCCGCGCTACCAGAAATTTTGGCGCCTGGGAAGCTCGACGCGAGCACGCACGTTGCTTGCTGGCAGCCCACGCACGCGTTTGCCTGCACGAGCGACGTCTTCATATAACCTGCGCGAATACCGCTGCCGCCGCTGCTGTTGCCTCTCCCTCCGCCCGCGCTGTGCGGTGAGCGCGCGCAGAGCAGCCCCGGCAACCCACCATCGCCAGCGACCGCGCTGGTGCGATCCAGCGCCCGCCCCAGCGCCGACATCGAAATAAGCCTGCGGTCGAGACACAGGCACGGCGCGTGCGCTGCCGGCATTGGCGATGCTTGTAATCGCGTGCCGTTGGCTGGAGGCGTGCACACGCTCTGCTACGGCTGCTGTCTCTTTGTGCTGGCCGGCCTAGCATCACTTCGCCTTCCAGCATGCTCTGCAGCAGATCGCGCCGGCCCCTGACTATACCGCCCTTGGCCCATTGTCACAGCCGCTTAACCTCTTGCATCAGACGCAGTTATCCGGTCGAAAAAAAGAAGTTCGTCAGGATGAAACGTGCGTCACTGGGCGGATGGATGCCTCGTCCCCACCGAGCGGGATTGATGTGCTGTCCCAGGAAGAAGGCCAAGTGTTGCTGGATGTGAACTTGACTTCACTCCATCTAAGGGCCCGCCGACCATCATCTTGCTGTGCCGTGCGCGACGTTACGTGCTGCCCTCACTTGGCATGTCTGTTACTGTCATACCACGACGCCGATGCAAACACCCGCCGGCTAGCCCAGGCCACGCGAGCGGCTCCTTATAGAGCGTCAAACGGTCGTCCCTTTCTGCCGTTCCGGATGCAGGGACAGCCGTAGGGATCCTGAGACGCCCTGATGCTACGGGCGTGTTCCTGGACATCAGAGAAGCATGAACCCGTCATCCGTTCTTTTCGCACGAACCATTCCGCCCACTTCCGGAAATAGCGTCATGTCACTAAAGCATAGAACACCGCCCAGTGGCTGTGTTGTTTGCCTCTGCAGATGTCAAAAACAACGGCGACATTGTATGGATGCCCCGTCTTGTGTTCCTCGGACACAAATACGCAACAAGCGGCTGAAATGTCAGGCTTCAGCCGGGCCGTCTGGGGCACCACGGTGTTTCCTAATTAGGAAAATTTGTAGGTCGCGGCTGGATGTCGGAATGTCCAGCCCAAGGCGGCGCGCATTGCGTGTAGAGATTTGCACAGGGGTCGCAGCGAATACGACCGGCAATGCTGTGTTGTGCTGCGATGGCGGCGGTGTTTTGCGACGCAGCGCGGACTCCTTAGTCGCGGAATCGTGGATCCCGCCCGACCTTGGCCGTTTGGCTTGAGAGGAGAGCCGCCGAGCAGCAGCGGGATCAGCGGCGGTGAGTTTGAAGCGGCGAGGTTGTGTTGCGCTGCAAGATTGACGAGTGGACTGTATCTAATGTCGGCAGAGGCCCTGACATGGCGATGCATATTTAGCTACATTTGGACAGGACATGGGTGCGCGGCGTGCAGGGCCGGCCATTCGTGCGAGTCAGGTTGGCTGGGGAATGAGACGGCGGCACTGGCGCTGACCCTGATACACTGTCTCACGTCCGGGCGCGCGACAGCTCCAGCATGGTCGACCGGCCAGCGCGGGTTGAGGTGAGGGCCGACCACAGGAGAAGCGCGTATGTGGGGGGTTTGGCGCGACCGGCGGCTCCGGATTCCGCGCGCGCGGCTGAGCGGCGGTCAAGTGTTGGTGTTGGCAGTGCACCGAGTGGAGGTGGCAAGGCGTCTCGAACACTCGCTTCGTCGTCGCATGCAAACGGAAGGGCGGGCCAGCGACAGCTCATGCGACGCTTCCTCTGCACCAACAACACCCTCTCTGCCGCCTCGTCACCACCGATCTCCGAGCGAACGCCTACTATCTTTTGGAACCCTCACCCATCCACGATCTCGACCACGCCGCCCGCTGTCGATCTCGTGCCACTCGCTTGCCCTCTTGCGCGCCGAGTCTGCCCCCGACGTCACCTCTCTTCACTCCAGCACCCTGGTCCCCAGCAGCGGGGCGGACGTGCGGCACGACCGGAGCCAGCCCAACACCACCACCCGCGACTGCTCTCACCACCAGTGCCTCCATCATCGCAGCTGCCGCCGTACCCGCGACCGGACCGAGCATCGCCACGATGCGGCTGCCCGACGCCGAGTTCCTTGCCGCGGTGCCCACCACCTTATCCACCCACGCCATCCACTCACGCCCGACTGCTGCCTCTTCGCTGCCGTTCCTCGCATCGCACCCCGAGGGGATGCAGGCGCCTCCCGGCGGAGCGACGGACACGCTGAGCATCGACAGGATGAGTTCGACGGGGAAGGGGATCTTGGTGGGCATGATATCCGCCTTCGGCTCGGCCGCTTTTGTCGCCGTTGTTTTCGCAATCATCTATTTCTTCCGATACACACAGCAAGGCAGGATTTTCCTGGATCGCATAGGCAGGCCCGGAGAGTACGACGATGAACAAGCGTTCCTCAAGGAGGAAGCGGAGGCGCTCGAGGAAATGGACGATCTGCAGCGCACCGAATACATGCGAGCCAAGGGTAAGACCGCTCTGCGCGCGCCCGCTCTCAAGATGCGGTCCTGCTGTCGCTGAGTTTGCTGACTGGGTCACAGCGTTCATCCAGGCAAACCCGCCCGAGTCGGTGCAGACGGACATCTCGCTATCCCAGTTCTTGGCGATCCAGGAGAAGGGTGTTTCAGCCTGGGAATTTGAGCCGGAACTGGAAATTGCAAACTGCTTCGTCGAGGGCCGCACCGAAGTTGAATTCTTCGACTCAGAATGCAGCGTGCAGAGCAATCTCCCGATTCCGAAGCAGAACGAGGTGTACTACTGGGAGGCAAAGGTCTACGACAAGCCCGAGAATACTACCATCAGCATTGGCCTCACTACCAAGCCGTATCCTCTCTTCCGTCTTCCAGGTAAGTCCGATGCGTTAGACTGCAATGCACGGCTTTAACTCCGGGCTAGGCTTTCACAAGACTTCCATCGCATACACCTCCCCCGGCTCCCGGCGGTTTAACCAACCCTTCACTCCTACTCCCTATGGCCCTTCTTACGTTCAGGGTGACGTTATAGGGGTCGGATACAGGCCTCGGACTGGAACGATCTTCTTCACTCGCAACGGCAAAAAGCTCGAGGATGTGGCACACGGTCTCAAGGCGCAGAACTTCTTCCCCACGATCGGAGCCAATGGCCCGTGCCAGGTGCACGTGAATTTTGGTCAGATGGGATTTGTCTTCATCGAGGCAAACGTGAAGAAATGGGGTCTCGCGCCCATGAACGGCTCGTTGGCGCCACCGCCGCCATACGGCAGTGAGCAAGGCAGCATTCTTTTGGAGGGTGGAAGAGAAGGCATCAGAGAGGGCATGGGTTACCTTGCAGCCGGTTACGCCCATGCGCGGAGAAGCAGTCAGCAGATGCGACTGGGAAGAAACCAGCCCACGAGTCCCGGACCGCAACGTTCTCCCACGGATATTTCTTTGGCCCAGCTGAGCCTGGTCGACTCCAACGAAGGCGATGTAGGTGAGGGCACCAGCACCATTGCTGGAGAATCATTCACGCCGTACGGCCAGGTGCCGCAAAGCCTGGCAATTCCCGTTGCCGAGCTCCCACCGGAGTACGAGTCTCCCCAAGGAAGCCCCAGCACCCAAGCTAGCTTCGACGGCGGGGTGCCTTTGTTGGGAGACAGGACTGGGGATCCCCCAATCCCCACATACGATGCTGCAATGGCGGATTCCCGAGCGGAAAGTAGGGGGAGGAGTGATACCCGTGGCTCGCGCTCATGACTATGACGACGACGACAACAACAACAACAACAACACTTGTACATTGATTGCACTGCGCTCGTTTGCTTTTGAGGCAGCCATGGAGACCTGGCGTTCCCGTGTTTCAGATATCTGATTTCTTTGCATTGCTGCGGTTGTGGGTTGGAGGTCTGTCTGATACAGGAGTATGCCTACTTTGGTTTTGGCAAAAGGAATAGCGTTTCAAAGGTGTCTAAAGGCGTGAGATACCACAGGAGGGAAAGTGTGGCAGTTTGGACGGAGAATCAAGCTGGCAACAAACGTTCTCATGACCGCTGGATAGATACCGTCGTCGGTGTATTTGGATCAAAGTTTTTACTCTCACGCTCGCACCCGTCTTCTTAGGAATTCTTTCCCCTCCTACTTCCGCTCGTTTCCTAGTCTCGATTCTTTCTCCCGTTCCCTCTCGTCACAGCACATACCTAAAATAAAGGTTTTCCTTGTCTGTCAAGTCCTTAAAAGCAAGCTTATCCCTTTCTTCTTCGTCGATTGGTTGTGCATCTCGCCATTTGTTTTCTCTGCGCAGAACGGCATACAGAACCGCAGCTGCTACTATGACTATACAGTAGCTTTCGTCACCCCATCGCGTCAGCACAGAAGGCGAAGCGAGCTCAGATCAAGATGCCAACCCACTGGAGTTCAGGGGGAGGGGTAGTGGATCAAAGAGAGGGAGAGGGAGAGGGAGAGAGAAAGGGTGGGGAAGGTGAAAGGTCACATCACAACTTACCAGATGATCAAGCCCAGCCACAACTCGGGGTAATGGCGATCCTTGGTCTGGCTCTTGACGAGCTGGGGGCCGACGATGTTGCCGACGCAGTAGGCGACGAAGACGGCGGCGGCGACGGTGCTCTTTTTGGTGGCGCCGGCGACGTTGGAGACGGCGATCGTAATGACGAGGCTGACGACGGCGCCGAAGGTGCCGATGATGGAGTAGCCGGCGACGGGGGCGGCGGCGCGGTGGGTCCAGGCGGAGCGCCAGACGAGGGCGCAGCCGGCCATGACGGGCAGGCAGTTGAGCACGAGCAGGGCGATGCGGGCGTCGGGCAGGCGGGCGGCCAGCCAGCCGGCCAGCAGGATGGCGGCGAGGCAGACGGCGCCGAGCGGGAACTGCAGCAGGATGGCCTCGAGCGGCGAGTAGCCGAAGGTGGTGACGATCAGGGGCCCGAAGCCGGACACGGCGCCGTTGACGGTGTAGGCGGCGGCCATGATGACGAAGACGAGCGGCGTCTTGACGTCGCGCAGCAGCGCCTCGACGACCTGCCCGCCCTTGACCGCGGTGCAGCGCGTGCCCGCGGCGCCGCGCCGCAGCCGCTCGACGGCCACGCGCCGCTCCTCGCCGCCGCGCAGGAACCACGCCGTGGCGGGCGAGTCCGGGACCAGCGCCCAGCACCACGCGCCGAAGAGGACGGTGGCGGCGCCGGCGGCGAGGTAGAGGTACTGCCAGCGCTCGAGCGGCGTGGCGGCGTCGTCGATGGTGCCGAAGGCGTAGTTGAGCGCGGCGCCGACGATGGTGAAGAGCCCCGTCGACGCGAACCACAGGCTCTGGCGCAGCGCCTGCTCGCGCTGCGCGTAAAAGGACGACACGATGCAGGTGAAGCCCGTCGGCACCACCGACTCGAGGAAGCCGAGCACGAAGCGCTGCGCGTAGAGGCCGCGGTACGTCGTCACGCCCGCCGTGCTCATGCACACGACGCCCCAGAGCATGACGATGGCGCCCAGCGTGCGGTTCTGCCGCGGCAGCCGCTGCAGCAGGAAGGTGAGGGGGTAGAGGCCCCCGAGCATGCCGAAGTAGAAGAGCGACGTCGCCCAGCTGAGCCGCGTCGAGTCGGTCGTGGCCGGCTGGCCGGGGCCCGCTGCTGGGCGGGTGACGGTCAGCTCGAGCGTCGTGGACATGCCCAGCAGGGCGGCGGACCCGAGGATGGCCTTGTCATAGTAGACGAGCCCGTAGCCTTTGTGGGAGCGTCAGCGGATGGGGGTTCTGCGCTGCTGAGCAGATCGTAGCGTGGTTGCAACGAGGAGCGTGCGGGGCAGCGAGTCAGTAGTAGTGACGGTGACGCCAGCTGTCAACGTAGATACACAGCGTTTATCTGGCTAGCAGAATCGGGCAATACGATCTACAGGGTTTCGTGTTGAAGAATAACAACGGGCGGGTGTGGAGCGTGAAAGCGAAAAGGCGGAGCACGCCTATGCCCTGATCGGGCACCACGCGGTACCACGGGGTTTTCTTCCTCAATCCATCCAAAAAAACGTACCTAGAATCATCGTCGGCATCAGGAACCAATCGATCTTGCGCAGCACCCGCGCCTCGACCTGCGGGTCGTATTCCTGCGCGCGCTCCCCGACCACCGTCAGCGCGACATCCTTGCCCTTGTCGAATGCTGCTGCTGCGCCGGAAGTCGCCGCGTGCGGACCGTGTGATCTCCCGCATGCGCTTCCGCCCGCCGACGGGGACGACGAGATATTGGACGCGCGCAGCGGGGTGCCGTGGCTGCGGTCCCGATCTTGGCCCTGCTGCTGCTGCCGCTGCTGCCGCTGTTCCCGCTGCTGACCGCCGCCGCCGCCGCCGCTGATGCGGCGGGCATTGTGTTCATTACGAGGAGCGGTAGCGACCGCGGAAGCGGGTGCTGCAGCCGCGGCCGGGGACTTCACGTCTGCTGCGGACCCCTCCATGGTGATGGAGGATTGTGATGAGAATTAAGAGAGAAACCGCAGGGCGGGCTCGAGAGGGAGGACAAGGGCGGGGCGCAGCGTGATTGAGTTGAACGGTCTCCAATCCAAAACGGTGGTGTCTGTGTCGCTAAATGGGCTTCCCGGTCCCCTGCGATATCGCAACAAGTTTTCCCTTCCTGGTCGCAGCAAAGGCCGCTTTGGGGCCGATCGTGTCATTCTACCATGCCACAATGCCGAGTGCTGGCATTCTCATCATCCTGCAAGCCACCCTAGGGCATAAGAAGAAGGAAAAACAACCTCGCAGCTGACAAGGATCGTGGCGCGTCTGGGCGTCTTCTGGGCCATATCGAGCATGCCGTTGCCGCCTCTTTGCTCTGCATCGGGCCGGGTATGGGTGTTACGTGCATGCACCGGATCAACCGTGTCGCTGGGCCGTTTTCTGTCGCGCTCAGAGCATGGGTTTGAGTCTGAGAGCATACCGGTGCGCTTTGTCTCCGCCCTGCTCACCGGCCATTGCTGAAGAAGAGATGGTTCTCGGTCCAAATCCTCTGCCGTAAATTCAATCCTGCGGCTCCTCCCACAATGTTGGAGCAGTAAGATCAGGCGGGCTGTCGTGACCTGAGTAGCGGCACAAGCATTGACTTTAATTGCGGGTCTAGCAAAGGATCAACTCAACAAGTCGGAACTGGCGTTGGGTCTCTAGAGAGTGGCGTCTCCACCAAGCGCCCCAAGAACTCTACGAATCAGTCTCTTTTGTTTGAACCCAATGGATTGACCCTCGAAGGGTGACCATGGACAGAGAATATTATATACGTGACACTCCCAATATGTACGCGCTAACCCCCTTTGGATTAACTCAGGCTGCTCTGTCTACTCACCGTTGCTGTTGACTTTTAATAACCTTCACACTCTAAATCGTCGAAGTATTCGAAGATCTTTGTTCTTATCGATGGAAATTTCACAGGCCGACCAGCAGTCATCGCTGGAATTAAATACTGCGCGAACTATGTGAACGCTTAATGTATAACGCTAGACCCATGTTAACTAATGAAATAGTTTGCGACAACATCTGAGATGATACTATCACACAGTAATTACCGCGACGACTCTTACACACAATGCAGATATTATTGTCGCCCCATCGCATAACTCCTCTCCCTCCCTCCCGGTGAAATCGAACGAGATTATTCACTTTGGCATCAAGACAGCATCATCTCGCTTCCGCGGCTGTTCTTTCTCGACATCTCCAGCACAGTCGATGACCCCCGACTGCCCGACCTCGATTCGAGCACATGTCCTGACCCATGGCTACCCGTCCGCGAGTGCATCATCTGCCCGGGCCCGGGACTGGTTTTCCTCGTGGGAACGTCTAGCATGTGCGACGAGCTACGGCTCCCCCTCACCGTTGCGTCCTGAAGCATGTTGGACGAACCACGGCTGGACCGCCGCTGCTCCACCATCGTCATCTTGTCGTTCTCCCCGCGCATCTCTGCCTCTAGATCCGACCGGCTCAACTGCCTCCTCTGGCGGTTCGCGGCCACAGCCGGTGGCATGATACCAACCTGCACTGGGCGGCCCAGTGGCTGCTGCTGCTGCTGCTGCTGCTGCTGCTGCTGCTGTTGCTGTTGCTGATGACGCTTCTCACTCGGCGACATCAGCGGTGCCATGCCATACCAGACAATGGCCGCCATTCCTAGAACGGCGGAAATGCAGCTGAATACCAGCGCGACGATACCTCTCGCAGTGAAGCCAGAGGGTAATGGTGCAGGGCTTTTGTTCTCACCAGAGAGATCAAGGTAATCAATGGTGTTTCCAGCAGCGTTGCCCGCAGTGGGTGTGCCGGCGGCGAGACAGGCACGCCAGTGATCAGCGGGTATGTTGTTGCGAAGTGAGGATTGTAAGTCGAGTGGGGCTGAGACCATCGTGGCGATGAGACCTGAAGCGACGTGCCTGAGTGCGGAAGGGGAGGCGGTCAGTAGATGCAAGTTGCGGAACCGAGGAAGCCTTACCATTCGATGTGACAGTGGAAAAGCCAGGCGCCAGGATTGTCGGCTTTGAACCTCAGTACCATGTTGCCATTGGGGCGGACGAGAATGGTATCACGACGCATGGGTTTTGAAGGAAAGGTTTCATTTCCAACGTAGGAACCGGCCTCTTCCTGAGAGCGAACGACTGCCTGGAATGCATGACCATGCAAATGGAAGGGGTGCTTGCCGGGGTCATTGTTGTTAAGAATGATCTCGACGATTTCGCCCTTGTCCAAGACGAAGGCATTCGTGTTACTACCGTAGATGACGGGATCTGTGGCATTGTTCCCGGTGGATAAAACGGTGTAGAGAGTCGGCACCTTCGGCTCAACGTACGTCACATCGTTGAAGAAGGCGCTAGGTTCGGTGAGTGCTCGTTACTTCATAGGTCTGGGTGCACTTACTAGTTTGCGCCGTCTCCAAGGTTGTCCATCTTCATATCCAGCGTAATGGAATGGTCTACGTGATCATACAAGGCCAAGCCGTCTTGTGGCACGAGCAAAAAGTCATCAAAAGCGTCGTAATCGCCAATCTGCAAAGGCGGAAGGTTCGCATTCCTGTCGTCGTAGACGAGCCATCCGGTTACATTGTTGTTGAGGGTCGAGGGAACAGTATCAAAAAGGTCCTGCAGCAGTTAGTGATGGTATAGGCTGACAGTGTCGCAGCGCCTACCTCGTCCATGCTGCTAACGAAGGGATAGTTGGAGTTGGTTTCATTCTTGGCTGTGATGATTACGCTGTAACGCTGGGCGGCAGTGATGTAGAGTCTCTCAGCATCTGCAGGCTCCGTGTAGACGCCATCGACTTCAACAATACTCATTGTGTGCCCTTCGAACCAGACGTACTGTGCGGCGAAAGCTCCAATGTTGATCAGGCGGAACATGTACCGCTTTCCCGGAGTCATTCGGAAGGTGAGGTCTTGGGTATCATTCATCAATGCCGAATTGGGAACAGGCTCTGCTCCAGTAGGATTGGTGACACTGATGAAGCTTTTCATAAGGGTCGGGATGCGATCATGGTACCAGTCCGAGAAAGTTAAGACAACCTCCTCGTCGTAGTCATCCTTGAACGGACTGTCCGGGTCTCTGACAATGAAGGGCCCGCGCAGTCCGTCAGGATACTGTCCGCGGTTGTGAGAGTGATACCTGAGCCAGGTCAGCGCCGTAGCTAAGAGCTACCAACCACCTACCAGTAGGTCCCGGGCTGGTCAACCTATAAGGGTGGTCAGTTGGACACGCCGACTAGCTGGAGGCAGAGCCTTACGGTAAAGTTGTAGGTGAAGGAGCTGCCGGGCGGGATTTCACACTGGGTGACGCCGGTGGGGCCGTCCATGTGGTTTGTGCCGTTCATGTAGATGCCATGGAAATGCAGGCTGGTGCTCTCAGTCTCGAGCTGGTTGTTGACATTGACAATGACGCGGTCGCCCTTGGTAACGTCGATGGCGGGCAGAGGCCACTGGCCGTTGATGCCAATGGTGGTGCGACGATAAGCCCCATCGGGATTGGCGGCAACCCAGGTCACGTTGAAGTCATAGGTGAGGGTGGCAGCGTGGCTGCACAGGGCGGCGGCGAGCAGGAGGAACAAAGAGCGGGCCATGGCTGCGGAATGGAGCGGGAGCCTCGCTGCGATTACCCCTCATATACAGAGAGACACGGCGGGGCGGGCGGGGCAGATGGGCGGGCGGTGCTGGAGGCGCCACGGACGCGCTGATGCAAGCACCAGGTGGGTGGAGGAAGAGCGTGGTGTGGATCGAGGATTGGCAGAAGGTTGGGACGGGCAGTGATTGATCGATTAGATTTGATAGCGGCGATGCATCTGATTCTGATTGCACGGCGGCGCGCGATCAGACGATCCAGACAGGGTCCAGGCAAGCCAAGCCGCCCAGATGGAGGCCGAAGCTTGATCGACTACGGATCCGTAATGCCGCAGCCTATGGGACGGGGGGCATTGAGGCGGGCCAGGCGGACGCGGGCGGCGGTGCGGTGGGTTAGCGGAGCCGGCGAGGCGGCCTAAAGAGCGCCCTCGGGCTGAAGAATGTCGATTCCGGCGGGGAAAAACAAACGCAGGCGACGGCTGGTGGCGAGGTTATAGAATGCTGGTCGAAACCATGCCCGGCTAGTCATGGTGCAGGAATGGGAGCACATGTACCGCATTGCGGGTCTGCCGATCCGTGGACGTGCGGTGAAGCAAGCAACAGCCAAACTCAAGGATGGGGAGGAGGGGCGGGCGGAGGCCAAAGTAGCGGGCGGGTCGCTAATGCACAAGCCGCCGCAACTGGCCTGACCCTTGCGGCATCCTGTCTCAAATGCCTGGAACGCACGCCAACCGCGCCCATGGCTTTAAGTCTTGTATCCCGCCCAGATAGCCGCTATCTGATCCGCCCAAGCCCCCTTCTTTTCCCAACCTCGCTCCTCACGACACCATGGTGAACGTGTTTGCCGTGCCCAGTTAGTCTGCTGCCGCCGGCCGTCTGATGGCCGCTTCGCCGCTGACCCTGCTGCAGTCTTCTTCATTTGCATGCGCGAATGCCTCGAGACGAGCATCATCGTCTCTGTCCTGCTGTCTTTCCTCAAGCAGACGCTGGGTCCCGGGCATGACCCGCTCACGTACAAGCGCCTGGTCAAGCAGGTGAGTCCGTCGCATCGCCCTCGTATGCCGCGGTGCCGAGCTGACCAGGGCCCAGGTGTGGAGTGGAGTTGCCGCCGGCCTGTTTATCTGCCTTATCATCGGCGGCGGCTTTATTGGCGCCTTCTACGGCGTTGGCCACGACTATTTCTCCAAGACAGAAGACCTGTGGGAGGGCATCTTCAGCCTGATTGCCGCCATCATCATCACCATCATGGGCGCAGCGCTGCTCCGGGTGTCCAAGCTGCAGGACAAGTGGCGCCTGAAGCTTGCGAAAGCCCTCGAGGCCAGGGAGAGCATCAGGACGGTGAACAAGGGCCGCGTGAAGCTCTGGGCCGAGAAGTACGCCATGTTCCTCCTCCCATTCGTCACCGTGCTGCGCGAAGGGCTCGAGGCGGTCGTGTTCATTGGCGGCGTCAGTCTCGGCATGCCGGCCGAGAGCTTCCCACTGGCTGTCGTTGCTGGCTTGGCTGCAGGCATCGTAATCGGCTACCTCATCTACAAGTGAGTCCGTCGCCTCCATGTCCGCATAAGCGTGCTCACCCCGCCATACAGGGGCGGGAATTTCGCATCGCTGCAAATCTTCCTGATCATTTCCACCTGCTTCCTGTACTTGGTCGCGGCCGGCCTGTTTTCCAAGGCCGTGTGGAGCCTCGAGATGCACCGCGTAAGCAAGCCCTTCCCCAACTGGATCCGGACGCTTCGTGTTGACTTCTTTCAGTGGACCCAGCTTACGGGCGGAGACGCGGCTGAGACTGGATCGGGCCCTGGCTCATACGACATCCGGCAGAGCGTGTGGCATGTGAACTGCTGCAACCCGGAGATCAACGGCGGCGGCGGCTGGGGCATCTTCAACAGCATCCTGGGCTGGCAGAACTCGGCCACGTACGGATCCGTCATTTCGTACAACCTCTACTGGGTCTTGGTGTTGGTGACGTTCGCGGGCATGCGCCACGTAGAGAGGGGCGGCCGGGTGCCCTTCTTCAAGAAGAAGCCAAGCTCGCAGTGGGAGCGCGACAACGAGCCCGGTGTCCAAGACAAGGCCATCGTCGGCAAGAAGGTCGCTGGTGGCGACGGAGTGCCCGCGTCGACAAATGTGCGGGAGCTTCACGAGCACGAAACGCGCGAGTCCTACAGAATCTCGTCGCACTCCCGACTGTCGGTGCTGACCGCTGATCTCCGCCAACACTAGCCACTCGAGGTGCTGAAGTCGGGACGGGACTGGGTTTTGCGAGTGGTGTTGATGTTAATGTTAATTATTCGATGCTCCACTAGCTGTCAACGTATATCAGGGTGATGTCTGCTGATGTGTCTCACCGTCTCTGAAGCAGGCCAACTGTGGCTCCGCATAAGTACCAGGCGCACGTGGGGTTGCGGCGGTGGCGGGCGGGCACAGGTGGGCACAGGTGGGCAGTGTGTAGGGTGATGATGCGGGGCAGATGGAGAAGTTCAGCCTTATCGCCTCACGTAGCCAGCCACCCAGCTAGCCAGTCACCCAGTCACCCAGCACCTACACGCACGCCGAGATTTCGCCGCCACGGCCGGTCACAGCGTCCTGCGCCCGGCCGTGACGTGAGCCTTTCTCACCAAGCTCCCGGCCTCTTTGCACGATTCCGTCTGCCTCTTGCTCGTCTACCCGGGGCTCTACTGCACCCTCCACCATGAACTGGCCGTATCCCTGAGTTGCCTACTTGTCTAGTCCAGCACTCTCCGAACTTACTCTGCTAGTGCGCTCAGCTCGCCGACTCCCTTCGTAATGACCTGCGAGTCTCTCTTTGGCACGCCTGCTGCCCCGCCCGCCCCCCCGGTTGTGAGCACCAAGGATGATGCACAATCCGAGGCAGGGCTTATGGCTATCTCAGGCAGTGGAGACTTGCTTCTGCGCGTGAAGGAGGACGACGACCAGGAGGGATTCCTGTACCGTGTCGAGTCCGGTCGCCTCCGTGCCGCGTCTTCATATTTTGAGAAGCTTCTCAGTGGCAGCTTCAGCGAGGCTGCCAACGTTGCCGTTCACCATGAGCGTCTCCGCAACCAGTACTCGGCCATGGCAGACGTGCCTGCTGACGAGCTCCCCGAAGTGACCATCGTCGACATTGGAAGAATCTCCAAGGTCAGCACCATCAAGCTGATCACAGCCGACTTCCTTCGCGCTCTCCACGACCAGGCTCTCGGAAATGGAAAAGATGCCCCGCCCGTCACGAACATGGCCAACCTCACAATTGTCGCCGACCGTTTCGACGCCCTTGCCACATTCGCGCACTTTGTACATCGGAGGAAATACTTGCAGATGATAGACACAAAGACAAAAGGCAAGCCTGCTGCAAGCTTACCAGAGGAGCGCGTGCGGCAAAAGCTCTTGATCGGTGCGCTTTTGGACTACCCACCGTGGGTCAAGCTGTACAGCAAGCGGCTGATACTGGGTGGTTCTGAACGGTGGAACAATGACGCTATCGATGAGTCCGAGAGCGCGCTATGGTGGGATGTCCCGGCCGGTATTGAAGGTAAGAACTGTCTCGACAAGGATCCGTCTCAAGACGCGCCCATCGAAGGCTCGTAGCCGTTCCCAAGGCTCTGGATCATACCCCCTTCCTGCTCCACATGTCAATCCCGCTGACACTTTGTAGACGAGCTTGTTTTTCGTCGCCGGTGCATTTTAAGCACCATGAACTCACTACAAAGCCATTTCGTCAAGCTGTATACTTCGGGTCAACGGCAGTGCAGACTTGGTTACGACTCGTCCTCTCAGTGTGATGTCTATCAGCTTGGAGAGATGGTTCGTTTTTTCGCTCGCATCGGCACATTGCGTCTTGAGTCGGCCATTTGTGGTTCTGACGCGACTCATGACTATGAAGGCGACATATCCCGGCTGTTGGAGTCTTTACGCCAATGTCCCTCGTACCAGATCGATAACAACCACTCTCACTGTGGGCTGCGGACGAAGATCATCCCGATCCTAGACCTCATACAGAGCTGCCTTGGTAGCAACGCCACACAGTATGACTGTGGAATCTGCGGCGACTGCTGGCGAGAGCGTAGAACGGAATATGCCTGGGCACAAGCCAAGCGACCAGTGCTGTGGAGCATCCGCTCTGCTGCTCCACGACCAGGCCCTCGAGAGCCGCACACAAAGGAAAAATGCCTGCGACATCATGCCGCAATCCGGGACATGTTCATGGCTGCGGAGCGTGACTGGTCTGGGGCTGATAATCTGGCTGTAAGGCCGTTTGGGACATGGATGGTGGATCGGAGGAGTACATAAAGGGGCGGCGGTGAATCGCTTCTGCTGCCTTGGGACCCGGCTGTAGGCAGACTTTGCCCTTTTTTTTCTTTCTCAACAGCGCTTCAGGAGGGAGGGTGTCATGATGGCTTAGAGGAAACCTGCGGCTTTGCTAGACTCTTACCTCACACGGGTTCGCCGTAGGGCTGAAACCAAGACAACATGCGAACCATCGAGACTCAGTTGCTTAGTAGATGAGCGTATTGGAAGGATGGGGCGAGGTTCGAAAGGAATGGGTGGCCGAACCCAAGGGGGCAAGGTACCGAAAGCAATAATGGGGCGCAGGCGGCAGGGCTTGTCTTACAAGTCTGCCTTAGGCGTCGCGCAGGAGGGAAGTTGGTGCGCACAGCCCCCAAAAAAAGCCTAGAGGCTACCACCCAAGGCGGGGCAATGATCAAAGAAGGCTGCACAGGCGCTTTGCGACCACCACCACCCCCACCCCCCATCCATCGCGCTCTCGGGTAGGCCTGTGCTAATGCATGACATGCTCAGCCGATTTTGAATTGCCGCATCCCGTGAGAACAGCCACCCGGGCATATTCAAGGCGGACTCTGGTGCTCAACACCAGATCAGTAGTTGAGGGGTATAAAACCTCTTCGTTGGTATGTTTGCTTGGTTCACGCATACCACGGGTCCACAACCGCAGTGCATTCGTTGAAATCATCTGCCTGCCGCCTTCCGTTTGCCCCCGTGCGCCTTCCGCTTATTTAAAGCTCCGCAGTATGACTACCCCGGCTGTTCGGGGCTTCTTCCACGACAACTGCTCGCAAACGCCACATATCGTGCGCCGGGCCTCCTCCACCATGGACCGCAGAGACTCCATTCTTGGCAGCTTAAAGCACAGGTTCTCTCGAGGAAGCGCAAAGGACGCGTCTGCACCCGCACCTTCGCGCGTGAAGAGCCTCAAGTCCGTCATACCGGGAAGCCAAAGGCAAACGACCGACAACCCCTACTCGCAGACCTCGACCCCAACCAGGCGACCAGGTGCGTACTCCTCTCTCCACTGACTGAATACGACAGCTGACCATGACAATGATACCAGACCGGCCCGGCATGAATGCCTTCACAACCCCGGCCACGGAGCCGCCACCCGCTTATTCGGCAACTCCGCAGGGCGGCAACACCACTGCCGCCACCGCCCCTGGGGTGCCCAGCGCCGCCACATCCGCGGCGGTTCCGGCCGACGACCGCTACGCTTTCCTTGGCTCATTCGACACGGTCTTCCTAATTGATGACTCGGGCAGCATGGCCGGCCGCTCATGGCGCGAGACAGGCAAGGCGCTAGAGACCATCACACCCATTTGCACAGAGCACGATGCCGACGGAATCGACATTTTCTTCCTGAACCACCCGGACAACCCCTACCACCACAACGTCACGCTGCCATCCACCGTCACCGAGATCTTCACCACGGTGCGCCCACAGGGTGGCACGCCCACCGGCCAGCGCCTCAACCAGATCCTTAAGCCCTACCTCCAGCGCGTTGCTGCTGACCCGGACAGGACGAAGCCGCTAAACATCATCGTCATCACGGACGGCGAGCCTAGCGACGATGTTGAGAGTGTCATCATCAACGCCGCGAAGAAGCTGGACAAGTGTGACGCTCCTGCCTGGCAAGTTGGCATCCAGTTCTTCCAGGTTGGCCGCGAGCCCGGCGCCAAAGAGCACTTGAAGCAGCTGGATGACGAACTGGCCGAGCTGTCGGGCGAGGACGACCTCAGGGACATCGTTGACACTGTGCCGTTCACCGGCAAAGACGATGCCGAGTTGACCGCTGAAGGCATTCTGAAGGTTGTGCTGGGTGCTGTCAACCGCCGCTTAGATCGCAAGAAGTCGAAGGATTTGCACAGATGAGTGGGAAACTTCTCCGGCTGCTGGTCGTCTCGGCCAAATGCGCTTTCTCGGATGCCTCTGGCTTCTCATTCTTATGGATACCTCTAGTGTTTTCTTTCTAGGCATTTCGGAATGAATTCCGAACGGCACGTCAAACCAGTCTAATTCTTGGGCTCTTCTTCGTTTGCCAATACTCACAGGTATGGGTGTTTTCGTTGAGCTTGGGGATGATTGTCTTTGCTTTGACAACGGAGGCATTTTTTGGTCTGCTTCGGTATGTTAGATGCTCCTGGCGAGTCGCAACACAGGAATGATTTCCCCACGGGACTCTGTGCCTGCAATCGATCATGGACGAGTTATGATTGATTGATGGTGCCAAGGAAAGAAGATACGGATTGGGATAGGCGGCAAGCATTTAGTAAGCGAGAGCGTGGCCCACATGGTCGACGCGCCCTCGCGTCCGGTTCAACAAAACTTCTTCATCTCCGCGTCTTCATCGACTGCACCGCACACGCCTCGCCACCGTTCGGCATGTGTTCTCCACCTTCATACTTTCCCCCTTGACTCTGTGACTGCCGTCATGGAGCCCGCCTCGTCGAGAGCTCTCGGGATTGCTCATCTCGTTGCTAACGTCCTGCACCAATCCCAGGATCACCAGCTTATTGGCCGGGCCAGTGTTGCCCCACTGTCCAGATATGCCTCGGTGAACAAGCTGTGGGCCGACGAGGTGACTGAGATGATCTGGGCCGAGCTCTCTACTCTTGAACCTCTCGAACTCGTCAGGCCCGAGCGTCGGCAGTACTACGCAAGAAAAATCCGGACGCTGAGAGTCGCCTTGGTGGACCCGCGTGTGCCTTCAGCTACTGCCTGCCTCTCGGATCTGGAGCTACCGCGTCTGAGAGAGGTCGAATTGAGGTTTCATTATGACGCGACGCCGCAGCATATTCCGCCCGTCTTGACGTCCAAGCTACGCTCTGTCGCAGTGAAGTGCTCTAATCGATGCCTATCGCGGGCCACTGAACATGCCATCCAGGCCATCATAGTAAGTGTGCTACTTCTGTCATACCTCCGCTGTCAGTCTTTTCACCTCTCGGGAATGGTAGCCCGCTGCCTGCACGGGCTGGGTCTAGCAATGTGACTGCCCTGGGTCCGTTTCTCGTCCCTTTGCACGCTGATCGCATACTACAGGTGCGGTGTCAGCGACTAAAGGCGTTCAATTACACCGGACCCTCGCACCATCTTGTGCCAAAAAGACTGTTGGATCTCTTCATGAGCCAGCGCTCAACTCTTTCAGATATCCGGATCCACATGACGGACTCCCTCACCCAAAATGAGGTTTCTGAGGATCTTGTTACTTACCTCGCCGAACAATCCGTCGTTCGGAATATTCGCGCCCCGCAGTTGAAGCTCCATGCTCCACCAAGATTCGCCATTGCTAACCCGTTCCAAGCACTGGAGTTGCTTGACATCAAGGCTGATTACGATTCATTGTATGCCATCAGTGCCTCGCTCCCTGAACTGAGGACGCTTCAAATCAATTTGGTTCCGAATCAGGCCGTCGTATCTGAACCTTTGGCTCCAATACTTTCCCGCCTGGCCGCCAGCACCAAGCTTGAAATCCTGAAGATTGAACGCCGTTCCCAACCTCGCGAAAGTGGCCTGGAGGTCCAAACTCCAGTGATCATTTCAGGGGCTGCATTTGCGGAATTTGCCCAAAGCTGCCGAAGTCTGCGGAAATTTTGTCTTGAAATACAACCTGGCATGGTTGCAGAGGACTTTACCGCTTCTCATCTCTTGCAAGCTTCGTCGTCTCTTCAATGCCTCCAGGAGGTTGGATTGTTCTTGACGCCGGAGTCCAGCTCGTTAACGGCTGCGACTGTTTCCATTTTCGGACAGTACTGCCCGGACTTGGAGTGTTGTCACATCCTGGGAGAGTTCACGGTCCTCGACATTGACTGGGGGACGGAGGCGATATTTCCGAAGCTTCGAAGGCTCAGCCTCAACCAAATCAGGGGATACCAGACGAATTGGTCCCTTGATGTCTTCGATTCCAAGCTTCGAAAAAAGTTCCCTCGTCTTGAGCTGCTACAGGTGATGAGGGCCTTTCCAGGCCCACTCTCCATCTCCACCTCGTACCTCTACGACGTGCCACAAACACCTCGTAGCCATCCTTCTAGTTGAGAGCGGTTCCCTGAGCCGCAGTTGTCTCATGCCTCGCTCGGTCTTCAGTCCTCAATCTGAAGATCTTGAGCTGGATACACTTTCGTGTAAGAGACAAGAACGACCTTTCGACGATCTTTGAGTACGGGCGCGCCGGAACTTGTCCAGCGGCAAACTCGTAATTTATCAGTCGGAACATACCTTGTTTGCCCAAGAGTCTCTCATGTCTAGAGTGTTGCTAGAACGCAACGTGTCCCCGTTCGTCCATTTTTCTGATCCAGAGAGTTGCGTTGTGGGGTGTGGTGTGATCCAGCCGGCTCCATGGCTTCAGTTGTCATTTTCTTTTCTAGAGTCTATTCCAATCAATAGAGTAATTCTTCGTCCTTCACAAACACTCCCTGTGTGCTAATGGGAAATAGTGTCAGGTTAAAGAGGTACTCGATATATAGTGCTGCATCTAAGAGCTGTACACGATTATTCTTGCTACTCAACCGCTCCAACCCACTTCAATAGCGCTATGATGATATGAAGTGCTAATGAATAATAATAAAAAACAGTTCAACCATTCCAACTCCTATCGCGCTGGGCTCCATGCCATTCAGCCCCCACACCATCGCTCACAAAGGCTCGTCCCCAAAGCCATCACTCATCACCACCTCCGTCGCCACCGCACCCGACCTACCCACCTCCTCCTTTCCCTTCTTCATCTGCACCTCATCCTCCACCACCACCCCTTCGTCCACCACCTCGTCGACCGTCTCGTCCAAACTCTTCCGCTTGAAGATGCCCGAGAACCGCACAATCGTCGGCCTCCTCGCCCGCCTGCTCGCCGCGCCGACACCGCCGCCGGCAGACTCGTCCGGCGTCCAGCTGGGCATGCGCGAGTCGAACGTGCCGAGACTGCTGCTCCTTCTCCTGCTGCCACCACCACCACCACCACCACCACCGATGCTCCCCATCATGCCGGCGTTACCGCTCGACAACAAGCGCTGCTGCGGCTGGCCGTGCCTCGCCACCACCATCATGTCCTCGGGGGAGTTTGTCGTTGTTGTTGCTGTTGTCGTCGTCGCGCTGTTGCTCTCCGCCGCCAGCTGATGATCCCTCAACCTGCTGCCACCCATCTCGTGTGCAGCCGAGGACGAGGAGGCGGAGGCGGCCTCGACATCACCGCCATGCCAGCTCCTCCTCGCTCCAGGACCCGCAAGAGCAGCACCGATGTCCCGGCCATCTCCCGCCGCAGTCGTCGCCGCCGCCGCCGTCGTAGCCGCTTGTTGTTGTTGTTGTTGATCGTCGCCCCTGCTGCTCCTCTGCGCCCTTCCGGCGCCGGCGCCACCACCACCACCATCGCTGCCGAACCCGCCCGAGTAGTACGAGTCCAAGCGCGAGCCGGAGCGGGAGCGCGAGCGCGAGCCCGAGCCAGAGCCCAAGCTGATGCCCTCGTACGCGGCGGCCGGCTCGCCCTCGAGCGCCATGTCCGGATACTCCGGGTCCGGGCACTCGTCCCACACGTCGTCGAGCGCGGCCAGCAGCAGCCGCGGGTCGACGCCCTCCGCCTGGCGGTCGTAGTCCTCGTACACGGCGCGGTCGCGCCGCCGGAGGTGGCGCGGTTTCCCCTTCTTGGGCTTGTCCGTGGACAGGGGCGGGTGGTGCTGATTTTTTCCCGAGGCATCGTCGGCGTCGACGGGAGTTCCCCAGTGGACTTGGCGGAGGATGGGGTCTTTGCTGCCTTTTTCCGAGGGCGGCGGACCCGTGTCGCCCGCCGAAGCGGCTGCCGGAGTGGTTGCTGGAGGAGGAGGTGGTGGTGGTGGTGGCGGTGGGACTGGTGGGGGTGCGTCGAAGGGGTAGGAGGACGGTTCGCTGCCCCTGTCGTATCCGGCGAGGACGGAGCCGAAGGGCGATTCTGGAATCTCGCTGTCAAGAGCGCCGTCGGCGAAGATGCGCGTGAAAGTCTTCGCGATGCTGCTTCTGGCATCGCGGCCGGTCGACAGCGCTCGAGCGAAGTCTTTGACGCTCGATTTGGCGCTGGTGTCGGGCGGCTGCTGGGATGGGGTGGCGGATTTTGCGGAGGTGGCTTCACCTTGTGGCTTCTGTGTCCGGGCCTTGCGAAGGCTCTGCGGAACGGTAAGGCTGCGCGGTTGTGGTTGGGTCTCACGCTGTGACTTGACTACTGGACCAGTCTGCACCCGTGGCGATGGTGGTTGGAAGAAGGAAGTGCGTGATAGAGGTGGGCTTTCTGGAGAGCCTGGCAGCACTGGCTCCCGCATCAGGCAGTAATCACCTACAAAGAAGGGCATTTCTGTTCTAGGAGACATTGGAGGGGACTGAATCGTAATAGCTGGCTTCTCTGGGGCGGAAGGCGCAGCTGGCGGAGAGGGGGGCTTTTTGGAGGGAACGCCATTCAGAATCCTCTCGCGGACTTTGTGGAGCATTTCCTTCCTAACTTTCTTGTACTCCATGTAGTCGTCTGTTTCTTCGGCTGTGGGATGCTTTAAGGGCGGAATTTGTGAGTGTTCATCCTCGAGAGTGTAGTCACGCTCCAGCCTTATTTCCCATATGAGGCTTGAGCCGCCATTTTCCGCTGGATCGGCAGGTCTGATGGACCATCCCGTGGTTCTGTGTCTGTGTTTGTCAGTGATTTTCCCACTTTAGCATTGAACCGATAGAACAGACAGGCCTTCGTATCGCATCCCGGACCTTGGCGCCCAAAGAGAATTCAGGGTGTGAGATCTGAGTACTCTTATGGGAAACCGAGACTGGAAGTCGGCAGAAGTCATCCGGAATCGACCTGGGTCATTCGGCTTGCAGCGATATTTGAACTTGTCCGGGGACTCGGTGTACACTTCGTCATTATCCTTCATGACCACTGCGTAGGCGCCTCGGCTGTTGGCACAGATACCGCCGTCGGTACAATCGAGGTTTATGATGCCGGAATGGAAAGCAAAGGTGCCGTTAATCCACCAACTATAAGCCGTCACTGTCAGCTTCAATCGAGAGTTGGCGTCGTCGATACTACAGCATTGACTTACTCTCCAGGGCTGAAGCCAAGTGATCCATGCTGCATGCCTCTGTCCGGACTCATGTAGCTGGGGTCTTGCTGCGACCAGAACCTCACAAGAGCCTGTGACCTCGTCAGTGTGTCTGTAACAAAGCACAAAGTGCTAAGGAAATGACCTTACATCGCGAGTGAGCTCCCTTCCGGTACAGACACCATAAAGCCTTCCATCTGGTTTGAACAGCCTTGGGCGAATGTCGCTCAGTTTGCCGTACTTTTTCGTCCACAGATCAACGATCTTGTCGCACTCCTCGGCCAGCCTCTTTGGCCAGCGCGTTGCCTTTCCTGACACTTCCAGCACAACGACGTGTATGCGCGAATACCGGAGTGTCGCTATCGAGAGGTCGGCGCTCTGAAGGCCAAGGAACAACTCATGCAACGTAAGTACGTCATCCGGCTGCATGCATTCGGGGCCATCGCGGGAGATGCGCGGATCAAGCTCATCGCGGATCCAACAAGCACGCTGGCGCAAGAACTCTTTGGAGAAGTTTAGTGGCATGAGGAAGCAGGGAGTTGGCGCTGTCCGGGTGGGGTCCGCCAGGCCAAAGGTTGCCGGAGAAGAAAGCACACGCAGGGCTCAGCGGACAGCAGGCGCTTCATGTGAGGTGAGTCGAAGTGACGAAATATCGGTGCCAAGTGCTTTGTTGCTGCCGAATTGGGAGAGGTTTAGTGTCGGTGATAGCGCTCCCGGGCACCATTTTCATTGCTAGACACGCTATGGCGCAATCGCTGGTTGTTGCGCATGCAGTGACCAAGAGCAAAGTGGGTGAAAATCACTGCCGAAAGGTGCGGCGCGTCGGCTTGTATAGCCTGGGGCATCGTGTAGGTGGTGCAGAGTGCAGGCCGCGGAGAGCCCTCCGTGGAACCAGTCGCTCCCCGTTTCGGCCGTGAAGCCCCTTGCTTCCCTCTGCTACATGTTCTAGTGGCCATTCCGTCACTCCCTTGAGCGGCCTGGGTAGCAGTTTCCGTAAGCAGTCAACGATGCTTACACTGCGCTTGTCAGCATGACTTGGCCAAGAAGGAGAAGGCTATCACTGACTGTCCGGGAACATGGGGTTCAAGCGAGGCGGAGCGTTGGCAGGGAAGTCGACTGCGAGAGGTCGGCAGGAAATCCTGGGCGGAAAAAGACCCATAAGAACGTGCATTGTGGCTAAGAGGACGAGTGCCTTGCAGTAGAAACCTAATGCCTGCTCCTCAGTGTTTGTAGAAGTCCACAAGGATATTGTCATGAAAACGAGGTCCGCAAGGATTGCTACGAGAAGTCTGTCGAATGGATCCATGTCGGAGAAGCTGGCGAGCTGCTAAATTCGTGCTCGTTATGTGCTTGGTTGACTCAGGCTCGGACGCCGGGGAGTCGGTGGACTTTGAGAGGGAGCTTCTCTTGGCTAGACCTGAGATGCCTTTGATTGGAATGTACGGGTGCATCCGCCGACCCACACCTGCAAACAGCCGCCAGGGAACAAGGACTTGAGCTAGCAGTCATGTCTCCACTTGCGACGGAAAAGAGTTCGCAGCCGGATGAGCGCAGATGCACCGAACAACCCTCGAAGACACAGCGATCAGCAACAAGGCCATCACCATCAGGACTCGCTCGGCACAGGATGAGCCGGCAACACAGAGATTGGCTGGAGAAGGCGAAGACACGGGCCGTTTGCCAGCTTGAAAGTCGAGAGGCAGGATACTATGGTCGGTGTTGGCCTGCGAGGTCAGAGCAGATCAGCGAGGGGTTCCTCACGCAGCGGCTTACAGCGATAGAAAACAGCGTAACGGGAACGTCGATCATGGAGCCCCTGAGGCTCCCCGGTGCCAATGGATGCGAGCGAAGCGTGGCACGAGTGGCACAAGTGGAGAGCAGCGTTTGTTGTCGACAGAGTGCGGAAGAATGGCGTGCTGGGCAAGCGCGTTTGGGATCGGCCTGATGCCTGATGCCTGCCGCCGATCTCCCGCGCGTCTCCCCCGGCAGCATGCAATGCACTCCCCAGACGATCCCAAGAGATGACGACAGCCTCCCTCAGCCTTAGCCGCTCCCAGCTGTCCGGGCTTGGGCCTTGATGCCGGAGCTCTCTCCCACTGCTTCCCGGCCACAAGCGCCACAATGCGACATATCTCCGACAACACCACGCAGACGCATCAAGCACTCTTGATCAACACCCAGCTCCAAGCCGCACCATCCCCGTGCTAATTGCCAGATTGCTTGCCTTGTTGCGGGGATCCATACCTCAAGCATGATCAGGTGGACCGTTAGATCTCGCCCTTTCCGCTTGATCGCCTGCCCCTGCACCGGCCGCTTGGGAAAGCGCCGCATTTTAATCTACCCGCTTTTCGGACGATTCTCCCGACCCTTGCCCACCAGGCACAAGTGTCTGTTGATCAAGATCCAGTCACCATCGTGCTGTGGAGACGGGAGGGGGTTATCCGCAGCGAGACGGCTGGGTGCCTTGCAAATATTTCGACGAAGTAGTAGTAGACGTTCTCGTTCGAAGTTCATCGTACATCAGGCACGGTTGCAGACAACGATGAAGGCTATCAGATGAACATTGAGGCTGAATAAATTAGGCTATTTGAGCACCGTGGCCACGAAATGACAAGCACTTCGGATGCTGGTCAGATCAGCCCGGTTCCATCACAACGACCGCCTGACCCGACACTTCCTGCGTATACTACTCATCCAGCAACGTCATCGCCATCGCACGTTTGTAAGGCCAGAAGGCAAGGGAGAACCGGCCGAGAACACAGCACAGCGCTTGGGGTGCAGCTGAGGAGACTATAGCAGGTCAGCGCGTTGCCACGAGGACTAAGCTTGTAGGAGTTGGGTTTAGGTGTGTAGTATCAGACAAAGGTGAAAGATGGTAAGTGTGTTTCTCCATTGGCACGAGGCCGTCGGTTGAACTATGCATAAAGTTTTGAACATCATGAAAGAGTCGGGTTGCAAAGGAAGATTCCTGACGTACCATGTGCGAGTACCAAGCGTGCGATCCGTCCTGTCTGTCAGCAGTCAACAGCCTATCCCACGGCAGCCGGTGCGAGATCGCCAGGCTAGGACAATGTTGGTCACAAGGCCATATCGTGAACAACAGCGCGCACAGGCTGCCGTACCGCAATCAGCGTGGTGGATGGAGGTGTTGAGGTTGGGTTTCTCGACGCGGGCGCGAGCTGCAAGAAAAACTTGCGGCAAGCGAGCACCAGCTCTTGCCGGCGTATCCCCGGAGTGCCTCAGGCATCAACCACCGAACCCTCCTCTGCTGTCCTTAGTATCCCTCAATAAGCTTTGCCTGGCCTTCTATATAGCCAAAACAGTGGTCCACTGCATGTGCTTCACTCTGCATGCGCGGCCAAGTGGCGTACTACGTAAGTGCAAGCTCGGCACATGGTCCTCCGTTCCCATGCCAGCAATGCCCACTCAACCAAGCTACCCCGCACCAAGCCCCAACATCGTGAGCGACATCGATGAGCATTCTTCAAAGAACCCACCAGCATCCGCGGGTGCTTTCACGCCGCATTCTTGAACCGGGACAGTCCTCCAATGCATTCACCTGGGGGTTTTTTTGCACTGCAGCCGGAGTGGGATTGGATCTATGGTACTGGGAGACCAACATGGATCAAAGCCGAGCAGTCCTCTTGCCGTTCCGCCAAGTCAAAGAAGGGCACCGCGAGGTCCACCTTGGCTGACACTAGTGCAGTAGCTTCTGAAATCGTAGCTTTCCTCGCATCCTTTTCAATCGGGCCCGCTGTGCATCCAAGTCCATCCTGCCGGCCTTCGACAAATGGAGTCTTGCATGATGGACTAGCCGACATCGGCTGCGTGATAGATAGTACACAGTAAGTGCGCCGTACCACAATGACACCACTCGTGAATGACTGGAAGGGGTTGTGAAGCTGTTGACCTGCTTGTTTGCACAGACCAAAGGAGGGGGTTCCTCTTCAATGCCGTGGCCAACCCACTATCAAATAAGCTTGCGGCAAAACTTCCACCACCTCACACGATCATGCTGCTTTGCAAGAAGCCTGGCCGGGGCCCATGATTCAACAACAGAGACGCTCAGGGTGAGAATAACGCCTCGTCTACGGATAATGATAGACTCGAAAGAGGACGTCGGTCGACCGGGAAAGAGATTCATGTGCAGCACATGCAACAACGTAGGATGCGGAAGAACATCTTGAGTGAAACAAGGCACCTGCATCAAGCGGTAGAGAAAGAGAGCTGGACATGCAGAAGGCAGGTGTACCGACCGTCTGCCCCTCCATGCCTACTGTGGTACTCTACCGGTGTGGCTCCCAACAGGGGTGCCGGAGCAACATTCGCGAGTCTGCACGCGTGGTTTTCATGGGGCTGCGGAGTCAGGATAAGGGTCCAGACGTCACAGTGAGCGGTCAGTGGAGAAATCTGATGATCGTAGTCCTTTGATCTCGGCAGCAATTGCCCGTCCAACCCAACGGGCACGACACGAGTCTGGAGTCGGACATGCACTTCCTTTCGTTCCTGGCAAGAACCAAGCCGTCGGCTATGAGGATGTCACGATGTCACATATGCACCCCCCGAAAACAAGCGTGCGGGACGCCGATCATCAGACGAAACCCACGTCGGATGAGCCCGTCGCTGGAGATCCTCAGGCGTCCTGCTTCCGTGGCCGTTTGTGACGCAGACCCGTTTGCAGATGCTGTTTTTTGTTTGCTCTGCGTTGCCAATGTGCCATGCTTCCGAGACATGCTCCTTCCAATCAGCAGCGCGAATTTTTTCCAATTTTTTTTTTCCCGCGGCACGGTCGCTTTAGGCGGCATCTGTGCAGAACACATCGACACACTCCACACGCAGCGCTACCACTGCCAAGCTCAATCCGGACTGACGCGGGCGAGGTTGTATCTGTCTCGTAACAATTGCCGTACCAAATGCCTAGCTGCGCCACCGGCACTGACTTGTTTGGGCGAAGGCCGCCATCAGAGTTTTCCGCCTCGTCAAATCTGGGGACTTACCGGTGCACGCGCTTGCGGGCGCGCAGGGCGGGTGCGCAGGGCGGGTGCGAAGGGGAAGCGATAACGTACCACCCTCGAAATCTTAACGTACCACCCTCCCCACTTTTTAGCGATTAGTGTAGCACGTTCGGTAATAACGAATATAATAATAATACTTACTACTATAATTATAGTATTTTAAACGTATATACCACGCTATAAATTCTTCTACTCTACTTCGGTGCGACCGAAGCTGCAGTTCTTATAGCTTACGGTTATCGAATAACGTAACCCGTAAGCCTTAAGCCTCTAGTAATAATACTTCGTTTATACCGACTAGCATATCCGACTACGTTCTAAACGAAGCGATATACTATATTATACGTATTAGACGAGAACCGCCTAGATAGAGACGTATACGTGCCTTAGGTATATACGTCGCCCGCTAATTACTACTACCGCCCGATCCGCTTGGTTCTAACGAACGCGAAGACGCGCCTTCTATCTATACTACTATAGAGATTATCGACCTCGGATCTACTAGCGAGT